GAAAGGTCTCCAGCAATTTCTTTCTTCTAGGGAAAGAGCTAAGGGCACTTCCTCTTTGCCCAAGTTTAATTCCTTGCTTCATGTTCTATTAAACTTTTTAGTTTCAAGTGTATTCAGCCCCTGGCTTCTCACCACACCCCCACACAGGGTTGTGGCCTAATCGAGGGAGGAGGGCAGCATTATTTTGGAAGCACTGCTTCTTAGTAGACCCTGTAACCCCGCAGGATAGAACCCTTCTCCGGATTTGCTCTCTTTGTCCACATTACCCAAAATGATTACAGATTGAACACAACCCTTATAGAAGTTCCAACAGTCTTTCCCGCCCTGTCCTTCATCTTGTAATCAGTTTTTGTTTGTTTCCGCACAAAAATGGAAACGCTGACCCTCTGAGTCAAATGGCACAGGAGAGGTCCCGGAAGAGCCGGAAGATCTTGGATAGGACCAAAGATGGATGACTCATACTCCCCATCTTTGAAACTTACTTCAAACCTACAGTTATCTAGGCAGTGGGGTTCTGGCATAGGGACTAACAGATGGATTGAAGAGATGGACGAGAAAGCCCAGAGATACATTTGCAGACATAGGTACATTTACTGCAGGGATGTTAAGACTAAACGTAAGTTTTTTTTGTTGTTGCTTTTTTGGTTTTTAGAGACAGGGTTTCTCTGTGTAGCTTTGGAGGCTGTTTTGGCACTCGCTCTGGAGACCAGGCTGGCCTCGAACTCACAGAGATCCGCCTGCCTCTGCCTCACGAGTGCTGGGATTAAAGGTGTGCTCCTCCAACACCCGGCTAAACGTAAATTTTTAATGTTATTGAATTCCATACATAACTACTGTATTTATATCATTTCTATTGTCCCCTCTCTCCTGTTCGTCTTACCCCCTTGCAAAGTATTGACCTCTTCTTTCATTATTATTGTTACACATATATCTCTGTATATATCTATCATCCATCCATTCATCCATCTATTATCTGTCATCTATCTATCTATCTATCTATCTATCTATCTATCTTGACACAGGACACACCAAATTCTCAACACAAAGGAGATTTATTTGCCCCAGAGGGACAAAGGGCAAAGAAATAGAGACAAAAGAGAGGGGGAAGAAAGGGGCAAGGGAGATGGGGAAGGGATGTTTGTCCCAAAGGGACAAAGGACGGCCTCTGGATAGAGAGATGGTCAAGATTCACAGGCAAATGGCAGTTTATAAACCCTGTGTTAGGATGAGTTTAGTAAGAAGGAGGTAAGGGAAGGGCAAGGCCTGCAAGAGCCATGTTTGCCCTCCTCGGCCTACTAAAGACATTCATATGCATGTATGTGTATGTATGTATGCACACACAGCCTGCTGAGTTCACTTAGTGTTGCCCCTATGTCTGTGTGTTTTAGACTGACCACTTGGGTCAGGTGACTCTCAGGGGGCTAATCCCTGGAGATGGTTGATTCAACCTCTCTCAGCAGCTGTTAATTGCAATTCTTGATCCAGGCATGGGGCTTTTGTGTGACAGAATCTTTCCTGGGGAGATACAACGCACACATTTACTCACCTTAGATTCAGAGACTCACCAGTCTGACTCAAGTTTTGGTTTTAGTAAATTAGAGTGCTTTGTTGTTGTTGTTTGTTTGCTTTAATTAAGAAACTGGCCAGGACCAAACCAGAGCAAGGCCCTGGTTATTATTAGTCTGAGGATCATAAAGGCAAAAAACATGAAGTTATAATTTTGGGAGCCCAATAAACTCATATCCTGTCTGGGTGCAGGCAAGGCTTGATTTTCTAACAGATATGCAGCAGGGGCCTCAGTCAGCAGTCAGCCAAACAAGTGTTTATACAGAAGTGGGACTCAGCAGTTAGCCTGTTTAATCTTGTGACCCATTACCTTGTAGGAAGAGCTGAGGCAGTGAAATATTTTGCAGCAAGCCAGGTGGTGGTGGTGAATGCTTTTAATCCCAGCACTCAGGAAGCAGAGGCAGAGGCAGAGGCAGAGAGGCAGAGAGGCAGAGAGGCAGAGGCAGAGGCAGAGAGGCAGATTAGCCTGCTCTACAGAGCTAGTTCCAGGACAGCCAGGGATACACAGAGAAGCCCTGTCTTAAAACACAACAGAAGCTGTTTTCTTTTTAGATTTTTTAAATTTATGGTGGTGGTGGGCACACATATGCTGATTTGTGAATGTGGGGGTCAGATGATAATTTACAGGAATCAGTTCTCTTCTTCCACTGTGTGGGTTCCAGGGATCAAACTCAGGTTGTCATGTCCTTACCCACTGAGCCATCTCACTAGCCCACTGTCTTAGGGTTTCTGTTTCTGTGAAGAGACACCATGGCCATGGCAGCTCTTATAAAGGAAAACATTTAACTGGGGCGACTCCCAGTTCAGAGGTTTAGTCCATTATCATCATGGCAGGACATGGCAGCATGCAGGCAGACATGGTGCTGGAGAAGAATCTGAGAGTTCTGCATCTTTAATCCTCAGGCAGCCGGGAAGCAACTGTGTCACACTGAGTGTAGCTTGAACAAAGGAAACCTCAAGCCCACTCCTAGAGTGACACACTTCCTCCAACAAGCTACACTTTCTAATAGTACCACTCCTATGAGCTTACGGGTGCCAGTTTCATTCAAACTACCACATCCAGTACCGACTTTTGGCTGAGTCTACAGTACTTAGATGTAAATTCCCTCCTGTGGAACAGGCATCAAGTCCAATACGAAAGTGGTGAGTTACCCTTTCTGCTAGTTAGCTTCCACTGCCAATTTAATTCAGTTCAGAGTTACCTGAGGGAGCCTCAACTGGGGGATTGCCTCAATCTGACTGGTGTGTGGTCATGTCTTTGGGGTCATTTTCTTGGTTGCTAAATGATATAGAAGAGCCCAGCCCACTGTGGGCAGTGCTACCCCTAAGCAGGTGAGCCTGGGTTGTACTAGAATGCTGGCTGAGCAGTAGGCAGAGGGAGCAAGCCAATAGCAGCATTCCTCCATAGTTTTTGTTTTCAAGTTTCCGCCTTGCTAGAGTTCCCATCCTGGTGGAATTCTTGCTCTGATTTTCCTCGGTGATGTATTGTGACCTGACAGGAAACTAAATTAACCTTTTCCTGATCTAACTTGCTTTTGGTTATGACATTTATCACAGCAATAGAAAAAGGAACCAGGGTACTCTCATAACAGACTTTCTACTATCAAACCAGTGCTCTCATCTGGCCTGGCTGGTCATTATTGTTGCACACAGGGTTCAACACTATTGACAATTCTCCCTCAATAACCTGCATAGCTCCTTCCTGAACTGTGAAGGTTAGCCAACAGGGAGGAAGCTTCTTCCCAGGTCCAGTTTGGATTCTCCATGACCTGTAACCCAAGCTCTTGGTGTCTTCAGTAGGAGGATCTTACCAAATTACAGGACTGGCAATTGCCTGCATTGTTAATCAGAGGCCAACCTGGTTAACAAGTCATAGGAAGGTACCCCATAGGCATTGAGATTTTTGCTTAACAACCTATGGCTTCTGGCAGTACCTTATTCACCCACATAGGGTGCTTTGCTCAAACTTTCATTTCAATTTAATTTTTTATTAGTCTTACAAGCATTGGATTCCCTTATTGTTCTCCCACACATAGTTTTAGTTGACTCACTCTCTACCCTTCTCCTCTCTCCATTTCCCTACCCCACCTCTCCGCTTACACTTTTCCCCCCTTTCATTTTTTTTTTTTTTTCCGAGACAGGGTTTCTCTGTGGCTTTGGAGGCTGTCCTGGAACTAGCTCTTGTAGACCAGGCTGGTCTCGAACTCACAGAGATCCGCCTGCCTCTGCCTCCCTAGTGCTGGGATTAAAGGCGTGTGCCACCAATGCCCGGCGCCCCCCTTCCATTTTTAATTCACAATGTTCTACTACACGCAAAGACACCCAACACACCGTAATCTTTTTTCCTCTCTTCTGGTTTCCACACTTTCATAGACACACAGTCACTCCCACATGAAGAAGGGAGTCAAAGAGTTACTTTACCATTTATTATCAAACAAAATCCATGAACAGTTATCACAAAGCAGAGCAAAGAATCCAAACTGGGTCCCCAGCTGCTATCTTCCATAGCCGCTCCTGCCTCCTCGTTCCAAAAGGCCACACATCCCACCCACCACTCTGCCTTAACTTTGGGTCATGTGCAATCCCAACAAAAACTCTACCCCAAGACCCAAATGCTCCTTTTGATAGGCTAGCAGACCAGTGACAAAATTTCTGTAACATTTCCCCCTTTTTTTCTAATTAAGAAGGAAAGCTTCTAATCCTTACATAATAAAATATATACAATAATAATTACTATTAAGTATTGCCCAGAAGGAAGAAAAGGTGATAACCTAAACTAAAATAAAACTACATGCAAGAACAATTATTAAGTAAGAAACACATTCTAAATGTCCAGAGCATAAGAATTGGCAAATTTATAGATACTACTCCAATAGCTGCCCTTTTCTGAAGAATTCAAAGTTTTATACCTAGCATGTCCTTAGCTAAGATTCGGAAGAAATGTTAACTATAACCCATGCACCACATTGGAGTGCCATATGTAAACAGAGGTAGTTGTCCTGATCAACTAGTCCCAAACAATCACATAAAACTTATATTAATTATGGAATGTTTGGCCTATAGCTCAGGCTTATTGCTAACTAGCTCTTACAACTTAAATTAACCAGTTTCTGTTAATCTACAATTTGTCATGTGGCTTTGTAGCTTTACCTGTTCTCTGGCACATACTGTTCCTCTGGCGGCTGGTTCGAATCTCTCTCTCTGACTCAGCCTCTCTTTCTCCCTGTATTTTCAGTTTGGTTTTGCCTTTCCTGCCTAGCCTTATTCTGCCTTGTTAAGGCCAAATCAGCTTTATTATCAACCGATGAGAGCAGCACATATTCACAGTGCAGAAAAGGATTATCCCACAGCACCCACATAAATGCACACGTATAAACATTAGAAACCAGGATCCAATCTGAACGAGTAGATGCAGCGTTAATCTTTCCAAGCCTGAGTTAGTTGTCTCGCTTAATATATTTTCCATTTCCACCCATTTCCCTGCAAATCTCATAGTTCCATCTTTCTTCCCAGCTCAGTAAAATTCAATTGTGTACGTCTACTATATGGTCACTATCCATTCATAAATTTTAAATAGTCTTAAAAACAAAACGAAGCAAAACAAAAGAGGGTATTGTCATGTAGCCCATGCAGGCAGGAGCTCTTGGTTCCTCTGCCTCAGTCTCCCAGGGAAAGGATTACCTGTGTGTACCACCCTGCCTGGCTTATGATTTTCATTTAGTGCTATCACTTACTTTTTGATAGATTTTTCTTTATTGGTGACAACTTTTTTATATTGCTGGAAATGGCTTTTCTATTTTTGTTTCAACTTGTTATTTGCTAGTATTTAGAGATGCAATGGATATTAGCATATTGACATTGAATCCAGATACTTTGCTGAAGTTACTAATTAAGTCTAATAGTTTGCTTACAAATTATTTTAGCTTTTCTATGTACATAATCACCAGCAAACAATAGTAGATACAGTGTTCTTTCTTTCTCCCTTCCTTCCTTCCCTTTTCTCTCTCTTTCTTTCTTTTTCTTCTTCTCTTCATCTCCCTCTTTCTCCTTCTTTTTCTTTTGAGAGAGGGGTTTCTCTATGAAGCCCTGGGTGTCCTGGAATAGACTTCAGACTCACAGAGATCCACCTGCCTCTGCCTCCTAAATGCTTTGATTATAGGTGTGCATCAACACCACCCAGCAAGTTATTTCTTTTTAAGGTTTATTTTTTAAAATTTCTTTTTCTCACCTATTGTATTGGCTTGGCTTTCCGATACATGTCAAATGGAAATGGTGACAGTGGATACCTTTATCTTGTACTCAGCTTGAGTGGGAAAATATTTAATAGCTCGTCTTCAAGAGTAATGCTTGTCACAGGGTTTTGTTTGTAGACATGCCTACATGCTTCATTAAATTAATCAATTTACTTTCTAATCTTAGTTTTCTGAGAGTTAAAATTGTGAACAAATTTTATTAACGGTCTTTTTTGGACCTTTTGAAGTTAACATGTTTTCACCATCATTTCTGTTAGTGTGATGATATAGTCCTTGACATATACTCTCTCTCTTTCTTCCTTCCTCCCTTCCTTTATAAATGATTTTCTTTTTTGGTTTTTGAGACAGGGTTTCTCTGTATTGGTTTGGGGGTTGCCCTGGAACTCACTATGTAGACCAGGCTGGCTTTGAACCCACAGAGATCTGCCTGCCTTTACTTCTCGAGTTCTGGTTAAAGGTGTGAGCCACCAATGCTTGGCCTATAAATGATTTTTTAATTTTTATTTTATGTGCATTGGTGTTTTGCCTGTATGTATGTCTGTGTGAGGGTGTTGAATCCCCTGGAGTTGGAGTGGAGACAGTTGTGAGCTGCCATGTGGGTGCTGGGAATTGAAACTGGGACCTCTGGAAAGTATATAGTGCTTTTAACTACTGAGCCAGCCCCACAGTCCTTGACTGTTAAATGTTAAATAATTCTTGCATTCTTAGGAAAGGTCCTTCTGGTGAACCTTCTGGGTTGGCTTCACTGTTTTGTTGGAGTTTCTTAGTTTCTTAGTTCACTGTTTCCTCAAAGGCTAATGACTTGTAACTTTTCATTTTTGTACATCATTTAAAATTTGTGTCAAGATTTTTCTGTCCTTTTGTTGCCAATTTGGCAAGTGTTTCTTTTTGTTTGTTCCCTGGCAACATTTATGTGAGTTTGGTAGTTTACTTTTGAAACTGTACATCAGAATTCATTTGGGCCTGGATTTCTTTTGTGAGGGAGGCTGGGAAATGTGCTGTGAAGCCTTTGTGTTTATTTTCTCTCTGTGTTCTCTCCTCCCAGCCTTAGCATGCTTGCAGTGATCCCGAAAAAGAAAAGTTTTAATGAGATATTTTTCGATTACTTCAAGGAACATAAAATAGAGATAGCCCATGCAATCCCCAAGTTGTTTCCTTTCCTAGAAAGCCTCAAGGACCGCTCCTTCATCACTGACAAAATCTATGCAGTAAGTGATATGTACTCATCAATCCCTGGAAACCCAGCCCCGCTTTAACCCGTGTTTGGCATCCTGAGTGCTAGGCTTCTCTAGCTGCCTAATGAACCTAATATGCTCTCATGTGGGAAGACCCTTTTATCTTTGTTAATCGTCCTATCATGTAGAAGGTAACAAGACACTCCTGCTCCTAACTGAAAACCTTCTCTTCCCAGGCAATTGTGGGAGTGTGAGGATGGGTGATAAGGCAACGAGGCTGAATTGCAACAGGGCTGGGGATTTAGGTTGACTGCCTGGCATTTGCTGTGCTCTGATAGCTACCCTCCGCATCTGGTACCCCTCCGTATCACCCCCTCCATATACACACAAAAGAAAAAACAGAAAGAAATTGTTAAGACCCACTGATAGATAGTATTAGAGACTTACGATAAAGCAAGATTAAGATAATGAAAGAACTAGAACAATCCTGTTGCCGAAATCTAAGGTTTGTCAATTAATGATTTTTAGGAAAAATGAGAGACAGGAATTAGTGGAAGAAAATGAATTGATTTATAATATTGGCCAGAACTCCCCAGTTTTCTGAGAAAGAAAACTCCCCAGTTTTCTGAGAAAGATATTTTAATCTGTCTTCATTCTGCCAAGAGAAAAGTTGGTGTGTGTGTATGTGTGTATGATGAAACAGAAACCAGGAAATATTCATATGCAGATTCAATGGGGAGCTCAAGTTATGAGAACTGAAACTTAAGTCTTCTCTGGACTGGCTGCAAGCTGCCAGCATGGGATTTCCTGGAGAACTGGAATCCACCGGTCCTCAGGACAGTATTTCATTATGACATCTACTTGTGTCAGATGAAGCTATGTTCTGACACTCTGTCTGTTGAACTTTCTCACAGGATTCTTATGAAGCTTGTAGGAACTTGGTTCCTGTAGAGAAAGTGGTGTACAACGTTCTTGATCACTTGGAGAAGTTATTTGGTTGGTCATTTCTATGCATACTCTTCAACAGAACGAACCTGAATGCGTATCCTGGTTTAAGAGAGATTCATGAAAGCTTGCAAACTGGTAATTCCTTCTCTTACCTCCATTTTGCAGTGAAATTCTGTCTTTAATTTTTTTCTTGCTAATTCTTTGACAATCTCATACATGTATACAATGTACCTAGGTCGTACTGACCTCAGTCCCATTGAATATTCCACAAACCCCTCAGCATGTCCCCCTATGCTTTCACACTCTGTCATCATCTTTGTCTTCATCTTCTTTCTATTCCTTCTCCTCTTCATAAGCTACTGAGCCCAATTAGTGCTGCCCATAAATGCACAGCCATACCCCCAAGTAAAAATGACTCTCCCAGCAACCATGAGCTGCCAATAGTAACTCAGCTATGGGTGGAGCCTTGTGAGTCCCTCCCCATTGGTGCTGAAGTGTGGATTGGCTTATTTTTGTGCAGATCTTGTGCAGGTAATCACAGCGGCTCTGTGCTCATGATTCTAGCTTCATATCATGTCCAGAAGACAGCAGTCCACTCCTCACCCATCCTCCAGTTCTTACATTCTTTCTGACACCTCTTCAATGTTCCCAAGCCACGGTGAGGGATTGAGATAAATGTCCCATTTAGATACAACAACTCTGTTTTCATTTATCCAGTCAGGATAGCTAAATTGCTTTCTGTGTCCTATCGCCTGAACTGGGCAGTGTGCTCTGTCTCATCGTGTGGGCAGCCTCCCAGGGTCTTCTCATGAACTCTTGGAGTTTCTTTCAGGGCAGCTGTCTTCACTCTTGATTTAGCTCTCAGAGCCCTTTCTTAGTGCTTGGGCCTGGGCGACCCCTGGGAATTCCTTTGCTGTCTGCTCATCTTTCTTCTCCCAAGGAAGCTCAGACTCTCCTCTTTGCTAATCCCATCTCTGAAGCTCTTGGGTCTTTCTATGACCTTATTCACCCTACTCCAGAGGGAACCCCCGTTCTTCCCTGTATAGCCCTCAGGAGCACTCCTTCCATTGAACTGAAGTAAGCTTTCACTATATTTAATTAAGCAATTAATTATTTTTTATGATTTTTCCTTTGTGCTATCACCCTTAGAACCTGAAGGAGGAGCTGGAGAGATGACTCAGCAATTAAGAGCATCTGCTGGGTTTTTGTTTGTTTGGTTTTTTTGTTTTGTTTTTTCAAGACAAGTTTTCTCTGTTCAACAGCCCTGGCTGTCCTGGAACTCGATCTGTAGATCAGGCTGGCCTTGAATTCACTGAGGTCTGCCTGTGTCTGCTTCCCAAGTGCTGGGACTAAAGGCGTGTGCCACCACTGCCTAGATAAGAACGTCTGCTATTCTTGCAGAGGAGCCTGAGTTTGGTTCTCAGCACCCACTCTGGGTCTCTCACAAACACCTGTAACTCCAGCTTCAGGAGATCCAACACTGTCTTCGGGCCTCCACAGGCATCTATACTCATGAACACACACTGATAAGAAGATACACAGACATACACATAACTAAAACAAAATAAATCTTAAAAAACAGAACAAAACAAAACCTTAAGAGCAGTGGTTCTCAACCTTCCTAATGCTGTGATCCTTTAATACAGTTCCTCAAGTTGTGGTGACCCCCAACCAAAAAATTATTTCATTTCTACTTCATAACTGTAATTTTGCTATTGTCATGAATGGTAATATGAATATCTGTGTTTTCCAATGTCTTAAGCAACCCCTGTGAAAGGATCATTCGACCCTCGAGGGGGTCCTGACCCACTGGCCTATAGGATTTCTGTGGTTTTGTTTTACTTTCTACTCTTGGTTGCCTGGTAGGAAGGGGCAAACGATATCCAATCATAACTCACTGAGACCCAGAGTGACCCAAGAGCTGGAAGTTCCCACTGACACACGATAACTCGGAGATGTTTCACCTGTGTGATTGTTAGCACTCAACTCCACTGTCCAGATGGTTGAGGGGATTTGTCACTTGCCTACAGGGACTAATGGTTTTCTCCCTCTGCTCAGAGCTAGAGGACAATTATTTATCCCAGAGAAGTAAACAAGACCAGAAACTTGTCACCGTGCAGCCACACTATGAGCAAGGTACTTAGAACTGGGCAAAATTTTGGTTAACATGGAACTGAGTTCCTGGTGTGGGGTGGGGGATGGGCAGGGCTCTGCAGAGAGCTCTAAAGGAATAGAAAAAGTAGATGAGTGCTGCTTTGAAAAAAAAAAGAAGAAGCTGGGCAGTGGTGGCACGGCTTTAATTCCAGCACTCAGGAGACAGAGGCAGGCAGATCTCTGCGAGTTCAAGGCCAGCCTGGTCTACAGAGGGCAGCCAGGACTATACAAAGGAACCCTATCTTGAAACTGCAACACCCCAAGACTTACTTATTTTATTTAATGTGTATGAGTGGTTTTGCTTGCATGTCTGTGCATGGTGTGCACGCCTGGTGCCCACAGAGGTCAGAAGAAGGGGTCAGATCCCCTGCAACTGGAGTTAGACAGTTGTGAGCCATCATGTGGGTGCCGGGAACTGAACCTGGGCCATTTTAACCTTTGAGCCATTGCTCCAGCTCCAGTGCAACTTTGTGTCAAGTTACAAATGACATGACTCTGACGTCATTAGGATGGACTGAAACATGTTCTACTCAGAACAGCAGTGTATCTGATGATGTTACTAGGTATCTGACTAGGTGTCTGAGTGTGGATTCTAAGAGTGCTTTGGTGGAGAGTGGTGAGGGGCTCAGAACTGTTGGTCTACGATGAACAGCAATCAAGAAGAGATATTTGGTGACAGCAAAAGTGATCAATAAATATGAATCCGAGACTGTTGTTCAAGAATAGGAAAATATAGACATTGAGAAGACATAGTAGAAATACAAGAACTTGGAGAGTCAGAAACAGGAAGAAGTACGTGGGAGAGACAGAACACAAAGGACAAAAGACGTAAAAATAAAAGGTACCAGTTGCTGACAGCTCACTTGGGTTGAGTGTCTGGTTTTGACTGCTGTGGCTTCACCATCCGAGTTGCTACCCAAGATGGTGTGCACAGTTTGTAGGTAAGGACACTGAACTCTAGAGAGACCACATATGTAGTTTTCATGGACAAGGTATTTAGAACGCAGAGCCTGTGTGGCTACCCAAACGATTAGTGGAAAAGACAGAAACAGGCAACAAAAGCAGGGAACACATGCAGAGAGAAAGATACTGGAAACAAAGAATAGCAAGAGCTGAAGTGGTTGGGAATGGTACTGAACACTCATGAAGGCCAGCGGGAGTGTGCCTTCAAGCATCCTATAGCTATCAATATGAAGTCAAGTCACGAGTGGCCCAGGGAAGACTCTTCTCAGCCGGCTGTAAGCCTTGCACCCTATTCTCATGACCGGAATCTGACCTCAAGAATCAGGGGGAACTTGTCATGGCCAGATGGGCTCTGGATTGATGCTTCAAGGGGCCCTTCAGCCCTTGTGTCATGAAGACAGGAAAGAACCCCTACTTCAATTCCTGAAATAAACGTCTAATTTTTGCTCCATAGGACCTGGTGACAGCTGTTCTCTAGGAAGTCTGACCAGGACACCTTCAGATAATGCCTCATCTGATGGTCTGTTCTTATTGACTCTGTGCCTGTTGCAGTCGCATCCCGTTCTGTCACGTGATTTGGGCCATCTGCTTGTGTTACTGACTGTCCAGAGTGCTCAGTGTTTTGTTTGTTTTTTTGCTTTTTGTTTTTCTTTTGCGGGGGTGGTGGGGGAGGGTTCGAGACAGGATTTGTCCTGGAACTAGCTGTTGTAGACCAGGTTGGTCTCGAACTCACAGAGATCCACCTGCCTCTGCCTCCCGAGTGCTGGGATTAAAGGCATGTGCCACCACTGCCCAGCCATCAGAGTGCTTAGTGTTTGCATCTGTCATTTCTCCAAGTTCAGGGTTTAAATGCCAGGATCTTTGTCCTCTGGATTGTCTAGGAGGGTTTCAGTACCTGTCTATTTAATTGATTAATGCACTTAACTAAAAACTACAGGTTATTTTATTTATTCATGTTTATATGCATAGGTGTTTTGCTTGCCAGAAGGTAGCTTCAAACCACTGTAACTGGAGTTACAGGTGGTTGTGAGCCGCTATGTGGGTGCTCAGAACTAAACCCAGGTCCTCTGGAAGAGCAGTCAGTGCTTTTAATCCCAGGCTGTCTTTCTAGCCCCAAATTTCAGGTTCTTATTCATGATGTCACAATGTCGTGTTTATAAAAGTACATTCTTGTGCAGGGTCCATCCAATCCAGAAAGGGAAGATCTCCAGAGTCTACATGGGATTTGAAGTCTAAGCACACAAACACAGACCATTTGGTTTTTCATCCACGTGAGTCTCATCGAAACAACTATGGATGTACCCAAGCAGGTGAGGCTGGGACAGTCTGGTATCTGTGAGGGTGATGGGTGGTGGGTATCTGCCACATGTCCAAGAGCAGTGGAGGTGTCTTTGCTATTCCACACGATCAGTGTTTAAAGACAAAGCTCCAACCACAGCAGAACGGAACAATGTCTACAGCAAGGAGACGATGACATAAGTAAATATTATATCTGATAGTTTCTCGAATGAGGACAATCATAGAGGTAGAGGATAGCAGTGAAAAGAGAAACAGAGACAGTGATGAATGACCTGGGAAGTCCCACTGGAGGGGAAGGAAAGACAGAAATGGGGGTGACCCTAGAAGTCGATGGAGTGAAAATATACCAACACCTCCTTGTGGGAGAAGCTGCAGTGCCGGTAGATGGGATCCTGATGGAACTTTGAAGAGAGAAAGAGTGGCAAGAGAGGAGATGAGCAGGGCTAACAGGGAGTGAGCTGGCATCCTCAGAGGGCAGTATCTTCTCCTGAGCTGCAGCTCACTGGAGCTTCAAACACCCAGGCTCAGGATGGTCACACTTCCCCAGCCATGGCGCCTGGGACCCCTCTCTTTTTCTGTTTCTTCAGTTCCCAGTAAACCTAATGCTCCCCAACTCTAAAAGGAGGGAAGGTCAGACAAGATCCATCCTTCCTACATCAACACGAGTGCAAAGGCAAAGGATTGGGTTGACTCACACTTTTAAAAGTTACTTTGATATTTTTATTATTGTCTGTGTGGACGGTGTGTGTGTGTGTGTGTGTGTGTGTGTGTGTGTGTGTGTGTACATGTGTAATATAGCATGCATGTGGAGGTCAGATGACCACTTGCAGATGACCATCTTCTCCATAGGGTTTCAGGGCTTTGACTCAAATCATCAGAATGGGCCATCATACCAGTCCAAATCTCACATTTTAGATGACTTGCGTATTAGATCATTATGTGGAGGGAGGGGACACTTGTTTCCCCCTCACTCGCCCCTTGCCTCCACCACACACCTGAGCTAGCCTCTAGCTGACTCCCAAGATACGAGGGAGGCAAGTTCTTTGAGGCCCAGGAGATGCTAGGAGCCCATTATCTAACACCGTAGAGCTTCTTGATGGAACACTTCAGAGACAGTGTCTCCTTAAATCTGGCCCCTTGTAGCCTCTTGCTTGCTGTTGTCTGCTTGCCACTGTCATCCTGCCTGGAGGGAAGGGACAAAGGAGACCCAAGTAGAGGATAAGAGCAATGATCACCTCTGTTTCTTGAATGCAGGATGTTTTTATGTGTGGTGCTGAAACTACTTGGGTTGGGGAAGTTGGAGACATAACACCCAGACCTCTGGCTGACGGCAGCTAGCACCACCCTTCAGTGAGCCTAGACAGCCATGATAACCCAGCCTGTGAGTAGGATTCAGGGCCAGGCATCATCTCAGCCACCCTGCTGCACCTGGCAGGGTTGTGATCCTGGCAGCTGCATCTCCTCCAGCCTCTGTGGCTGCTGGGGTGACCCTTATTGCCATAGCAACCATTAACTTCTGCTGCTACTCTGGATGCCCCACTTCAGCCCAGCTTGAGTGGCCAGTTGCTGTAGCCACTTGAACAGCTGCCATCACAACCTTCCAGCTTGTTCAGTTGCCAAGGCAACCTCTGCAACCAGCTGCTGGATGCCCCTGTGGTGTGAGGACGGGTAGCCAGCCTCCCTTCTGACCTGAGGTGGATTTTCCTATAGCCTTCTGGGGTGAACACAGACCTGCCTTCTCAGCGTAGGGATCTCAAGTGTAGTGCATCAAACTGAGCATCACTTCTTCTTCACAAACCTTCCTGCCTCCAACTCCCCCTCCTTCTTCGCCAAAGATCTGTCTTTCCTAAGGTGGATAGATGTCCAGGTCTTCAAGCAGGAAGCCCAGGAGTCCTCGTGAGTCCTTTTCCCCTCAGCATCCAGGCCCCATCAGTTATACCACTGTGTGGACATGACCTGACCTGAATGTACCATAAGATCTGTCCCATAATAGCACTATTTCTGTACCCTGAACTTGAACATGTATTTTGGTGCTGTGATATTGCTGGACAACTTCGGGTCAATCAAGATGGTTCAGCAGGAAAAGGCACTTGCCATCAAGCCTGATGACCAGCGTTCAATCCCAGGAACTCACATGGTGAAAATTGAGAACTGACTCCTGAAGGTTGTCTCTGACCTCCTCATGTGCTCATGCGTACAAGTGCGTACATGCATGCACGCATGCATGTGCATGCACACACACACACACCCGCACACACACCCACCCACACACACACACACACACCCACCCACACACACACACACACTATAAGATTAACACTAGTTGAAAACAGCAAAAACAGTTGTAAGAATTACATTTATGCAGATGGATGTTTCTCAGTATCTCTTCATGGGTACTCATACCCACAGATGTTCAAATCTTTAAGGTAACCTACACATATCCTCTTATTTACTTTCATTCATTTCTAGCTTGCTCCCAATATGTAATACAAATATAATATGAATACTTCGCCTTGTTCCATTGTTTAGGGGATAGTGACAAGAAGGAAATATGTTTTCTTTCTTTCTTTCTTTCTTTCTTTCTTTCTTTCTTCCTTCCTTCCTTCCTTCTTTCCTTCCTTCCTTCCTTCCTTCCTTCCTTCCTTCCTTCCTTCCTTCCTTCCTCTCTCTCTCTCTCTCTCTCTCCTCCTTCTTCTTCCTTTGGATTTTTGAGACAGGGTTTCTCTGTAACAGCCCTGGCTGTCTTAGAACTTGCTCTGTAGACTAGGTTAGCCTTGAACTCACAGAGATCCATCTGCTTCTGCTTTCTGAAATCTGGGATTAAAGGCGTGTGCCACCACCACCACCTGGCTTTGTGTTTTTTTTTTTTTTTTTTTTTTTTTTTTTTTTTTTTTGATAGGGTTTCTCTGTGTAGCCCTGGCTGTCCTGGAACTCACTCTGTAGACCAGGCTGGCTTTGAACTCAGAGGTCTACCTGTTTCTGCCTCCTGAGTGCTGGGATTAAAGGCATGCACCACCACACCAGGCATGAGAACTTCAGGTCTTAACAGAGTAAAAATAGTTAACTTTAGATGAGGTAGTTATCAGTTGGTAAATGATAGTAACAGGGAGAGGGAGAAAGAAAACAGACGATGATGGTGTCAGGGCAGTGAGAAAGAACTTGAGGACTGAAGGAAGAAAGGTGTACTGTAGGGCGAGGTAGAAAACAAAGTGAGAAGGTTCCTTCCTTCCTTCTCTCCCTCCCTCCTTCTCTCTCTTTGAGCCCAGGTCTTATTATACACAGCCATGTTGGCCTTGAAGGCATGATTGTCTCTCCAATCTCAACCTCCCAAGTGCTGTGTGATTACAGGTGTGAGTTACTATGCCTGTCTAAGGCGGTAAAAGTTTAGCACTATTCTTGTGCTTCTTAGTCAAGTGTCAGGGGAGCGAGAACAGGGCTGCATGAAGCTTTTTCAAAGGAGTGCATGAGAATTCTTCAAGTAGCATTCTCTTCCTTTTCAGGGCCAAACCTATGTACACATGAAAACTGGACAGGACCTTGTTTTGTGAAACAAGAAAACCTACAGAAGCCAGGGACAAAGCAGAACCAAGAGGATGAAGTCATTGGTAAGGATAACTTAAGATGCCTGTGGGGCTGGGTGATGCTTCTAAGTCATAGTGGTGACTTGTTGAGTGTGTGATCAGAGTCCAGCTCAGCGGCTCTGGGAGCCCCAGATAGATGCAGGGAGTCGTGGGCTCTGGTACTCTTATACTAGGAAAGCAGGTAGGCAATGGGATGGTTTTAAGAGATCTGGGAAGGAATAGCCAACAGGAAATGTGTTAGACAGGAAGCCAGGTATGTGTGGGTGGTGGAGGATGTGGGGGAGACCAAATAGGCAGAAGCAGAAAGCACAGGAGATTCACGGAGTGAGAGAAGTCTGAGGTAGAAGCCAGCAGAAAGGGGGAAAGGAGCATACGCAGATTGAGAGGTAACAAACAAGGCTTTGAGACAACCAAAGCCAGAGGAGTGTCCCTCAAAGTCAGCATTGAGTAGAACACTCTGGAGGGACCAACTATGGCAGAGGCATTGCTACCTAAACATTACCCAAGCTTCTGGATCGCTCCTGTGTCTACGCTCTGGAGTTCCAGCTTTGGAGTCATTCACTGAGAGCCCTAAGGGACTTTGTATTGCTGTGCAGTGATGTCATTCACTGTAGCCCTAAGGGGCTTTGTATTACTGTGCAGTGATGTCATTCACTGGAGCCCTAAGGGGTTTTCTATTGCTGTGCAGTGATCAGCAGTGAGGGCTCAGAATGCAGTGATGAGGATGATGAGCATGAACTCCTGGAACTCTTCACTTTGACACCGAGACACAGGAGGCAGATGGATGAGGAGGATGAGGACCATGTACCCTGGGCTCCGGAACTCAGAGCTTCCGTCAGGCGCTCAAACCTCCTGTTTCCTGACTCACCATTATTGGGGGAGGTCGAAGAGCCCAACCGTCCATTCTCTGCACCTTACTTTTTCTGATACCTGTGGAGATTTGGAGCGTGTAACAGGGTTCCAGATCTTAGTAAGCCACAAGGACTTAGCACAACTGACTCCATGGAAGTACCATTCAAGCTGTAAAACTCAGCATGTGGGCACTACCAACTGCCAAAATGAAAACAAAGAACTAACCCATCAAAGTCCACAATTCTGGGAAAGTATCTAAATGTTCTAACCTTGCTTTTTGGCTTCTGTGGTTCTGCTTCTGGCTAACTGCTCTTGTTAACTGAAGTGTGTCAACCGAGAACTTGGTTTTTGTGCTTAAAAGTCACCTTGGGGTGACTGAGATCTGGAACACCTAGTGTAGTCACTGGTTGGCTAATAAAGATTTCTATTTGTTTAAATATGTGTCCAAGCAGTCTTCTCTGGTGGGCACTCCACAGCAGAGGGGTTAGGCATTAGTCTCTGACTTTGTTGATATATTGATGGTAGAGTAAAAAGAAAATGGTATACTTACAAGCTTTATTTTGATTTCCCTCTTTCACATAACCATGTCTATCTGAAGCATAATAAAATATGTACTTGGCCTTTATCCCAGTTTCTTTGCATTGAGCTCTTAGAATGTCTGAAGTGTTCATTAGATGGCTCTCTATATTTGTGTCTGAGAGGATGAGGCAGAAAGCCGTGTAAGCCACAAAGTGATATTGCTTGGAGTCTCTGTCTGGATCAGGTGTTTCCAGGAATGTTGTTCAAAGAGTTGAAGAAGCATAAACAAATAGTAAAGCAGAAAGGGATTGTATTCAGAAACAAAAAGTTGAAGTTCCCAAGACCTCTCTGGGTAACTGTCATCCTGGTTGGCAAGTTGAGGCATGAACTCTGGGCTAGCTGCCCTGCCACACTTGAGTGAACCAGCCAATGAGAGCAAGAGGAGCACCAAAGAGCAATGTTCCCAGGAAAGTCCCTAATCTTTGAATCCTGATTGGTGGGAAAATATAACTGTACCCTTGCACAGATGTTTGTGGCTTCTGCACTTAAACACTGTTGACATGGACATTTGGGGATGCAGTCAGCTACCAAGTCTGTACTGTTGTCCCTGACTGGTCCCTCTGCTGTGCTGCCCAGTAATAAAATCTTGTGTTGAGTGACCCCTGTGTCTGCCCCAAACCCATATATATATATATATATATATATATATATATATATATTGTTCCTCTAAAATGGGTTCAGACTGACTAAGAAGGGCCACAGCCTTCCTCGCATGAGCAATTAGCCTAAATTGGGATCTGGGTCTGTGGGAGCCCTGCTTAGGATGTCCCTTTGCATTTGTTCTTTCTAGAATTAGTTTGTTAGTTACAGTTTCCCATGGCTAGCTGACTTGGTTATTAAACAACAGGCCTTCTTTGTCCAAAATGTGACTTCCCTGGTTGCCAGGGGGATTTTCTCTTCCCAA